ACAGGGGGGGGGGGGAATTTACCCCCCCCCCCCAGCCCCGCGCGTTCGGCTGGAGACCCCAGCCCCGCGCGGGTTAAAAGGGGGAAGGGGTGTTCAATCACCATCCTCCAGCAGGGCGTGGAAATTCAGGATCCCCAGCGGGGCGCGGGTTAAGGTATCCAGTCAACCGGTGACCTTTGAGGTCAGGGCCTAAGATGCGGTCTCGTTTTTTGAAAAAATAACTTGGCCAAAAATCACGCCAAAAATGGTTGCAGAGCCGCGATTTTGTCACCATGGTGTTCGTCATGCTCAGGCGCGTTACATGGTATGCCTACTTTTTGTTTTTTTCTGAGGTCAACATAAGGTGTTGACCTCGGGTCAAAGTCAGGTCAGAGCCACTCAGGTCACGAAGCTGGTCGAAGGAGGTCATACTGTATGTTATTCGATTTGGCAGGTGTCCCCGAGTCCATTGTGGCTTTCATGACTCGCTAGCTCAGTTTGGTCGGGAGTTGTTGACGAAAAACTCTTACGACCCTAGTGACGTCATAGTAGTAATAGTTTATTGACACAGTCTTAGGTACTAGATGGATAAAACCCAGAAGACAAGTGTCCATTAAAACAGATCATATACAAAACATATTAAAACCATCAAACATTTCATACAGAGAACCAGCGTTCGTTAAAACTATACCTAAACACCATGTTAAAATCCGTCCGCGTCATACGTTCTCACATGCCAGCAAAACTCTCTGAGAGTATATGGCCAAATCATTTGGACTACTTTTCATCAAGCTTGCCAAACTATCAAAGCTCAGCATTGTAAAATTTCTCCTAGGTGGCTCAGTGATTGGGCAGTCTAAAAGCACATGCGCCTCTGTTTGCACATGCGCCATACATGACGCCACCGGCCACGCAAGGTCAACGATGCATCAGCGATGCAAATCAACGATGCAAAAGGGCAGCATGAAATTTCGCAAGAAGTGCATGAAATCGCGAATCCATTCGCTTGAGGTAGTGTTTAGATCATTCCCGGCGCCAAAATTGTTTCCATATGTCTCCCATTTCTAACGGTGAGGTCATGCAACCGACCTGAACTCATGTGAGCTTTAGGGAAAATTCGAAATTATGCAAGTCGCGAGACCTCTAAAGGGTACTTGGTCTTGTCAGTTTCATTTATCGGTAAAAGCTCCTCTGGTACTGAGGGCATTGCGCAGTTGCGACATCTTAGGACCTTCCGGAGGTTTACTTATGACGTCATAAGTTAGTAACCTGACCTGACCTGACCTGACCTGAAAATGTGGTTGGTGTCACAAGATCCTGCTTTAACTAAAAGTCAGGCATGCCGAATTTCAGATTTGAATCGCCAGCGTGTTCTGAGTTATCGCGAAAAAAGTTGTGATGGTGCCCCCCCCCCCTCTAGCCGTATTCTATGCGTCTTTTCGGGGCGCTGTAGCCCTATACTCGTTCCTCAGTTATATTCCGATTTGTCAATAAGTGTCAAAATAGGCGGAAGGTGATCTTTGATGATCTCTGGTAACCTGGCCTCTGGCCCGAACTAAAAAATTGACTTTAGCGTTTTCTTCATATTTTTACGCCTTTTTGTACCACGCTTACCGCTTGCCGCTTTATAGGATAGCACACCCTTTATAATATTCGGCCGCCGGCCCAGTTTTATAAAGGGCATGCTATTTTATTCACGGCATCTGGTAATTTTTACAGTAACACAGGTGCTGGCAAACACGCATTCGAGTCAACGAAACGATTCCTCGTACCGTCAATATACGATGGACTGACATGCGAAAAACCATTTTGCATTTGATATCCGTTTTCTGCAGCTGAACTGCCAGTGCTGCCATATCCATTCCAGTCCCTTCATAAGATTGGACCGCAATACAAATCCCAATCTGATCCTAACCTAATTAATCTAAATCCAAATCTAAAACGATTTATGTAGACGGAAGTGCTTCCACCACCCCAATCCCCACCCCACTCGGTCAGGTCAGGGGTAGGTGGCGCTTAGCACAGGTCTAACGCGGTTTTATATATTTTTAATCATGCTCATGGTTTAATATATATTATATTTCTTCAGCAAACTCTGAGCCAGATCAGGTAAGCATAGGCAAGATTTATTTACATCGTGCAACTTTAAAACTTGGTACATTCAATTTAACCTCATGCAGTTTATCAAATAACTTCGATCTTTGCCGTTCCCACGCCGTATTGCAAAGGCCAGCCGAGCTGCATGCGGAGGAGTTAGAGTGATTGCAGCAGTCCAATATGTTTAACTTTATCTGATCCGCGCTGAGCGGGCACCAGGACGGCCTAATCAGATTAGGGAGGCCGGCGCAGCTCAGCCTAACTCGATCCCGGGTTAATCCCGGCGGCGGCGTGCTGCAGTCGCGCTGTGCTCCGACACGGGGCCGGACCCGACGAACTCTGAACGCCACCGACAGGACACTGTTCTCGTCGTCTGTCCTCTGCTCTGTGTCGTTCTTTGTCTTTCCTTTGCCTGTCTTCTGTTATTTGTCGTCCGTCGTCTGTGGACTGTTATCCTTCGTTTATCGTATATCGCTTGTCACTTTGTCATCTGTCTTCGGTCGATCATTACCGTCTTCTGCCGACATTTGTCATACCTATGTCATATTTCTATCTACATCGTTGATTGTTCAACCATGTGCCGTTTGTAACTTGACGAATGTTAGCTGATATGCCGAATTTCATATGCCGTCTCTCGTCTATCAGTCGTCTCTTATCTATCGTCTATCAGCTGTTGTCTATATCCGTCATTTGTCATCCGCAATATGTCGTCGTCGTCTGTTGTCTGTCATCGCTGTCTGTTGTTTGTCTGTCATCTGTTGCCTGTCATATGTCGTCTGTTGTATGCCATCTGCCGTCTTCAATTCGTCTGCCTGTGATATCTCATCTGTTGTCTGCCACCTGTAAGCCGTCATTTGTTGTCTGTCATCTATTGTCTGTCATCTATTTCCCCCGTCATTTGTCATCCGCCATATGTCGTCTGTGAAATGTCTGTATGTCTCCTGTCATCTGTCAAATGTCCCCTTTATACCATTAGTCGCCTTCCTTCCGCCATTCGTCGTTCGTCGTATGTTGATTGTCGTCTATCGTTTAGCGTATATCTTTTGCCACCTGTCTTCTGCCGACACATGTATGCACAATGCACATATGCCGTATGTCGTATAGGCATATCTGTCGGTTATCGTTGAGCCACCTGCCGTTTGTAATATGCCGTCTGTTTTCTGACGTCAGTTATCTGTCGTCTGTCGTCTATTGTCTGTAATCACTTGTATGCCATCTGTTGTCTGTCATCTGTCGTCTGGATCTGTCGTGAAGTATTTGTTCCGTCTTTGGCTGTCAGTCATCTGTTGTATGTCGTGTGTCGGCCCGTCATATTTCATCTGTTTTCTGTCATCTGAGTTGTGCGTCATATGTTGTGTATCACCTGTCGCATGTCGTTTGTTATCTGCCATTTGTTATCTGTTTTTTTTGTCTGTCATCTGCTGAATGTCATCTGACGTCTTTCGCCTGTTGTCTCTTATAGGTATGTCATCTGTCGTATATTGTCTCATGTGTCGTCTGTTATCTGTCGTCTGCCATCTGTCGTGTGTCATCTGCTTTCTGTGATTGGTCGCCTGTCATCTGTTAGCTGTTGTGCGTCATCTGTTGTCTGTCATTAGTAGTCTGTCATCGGTTGTCTGTCGTGTGTTGTGTGTCATATATTGTCCATCATCTGTTGTCTATCATCTCTCGTCTGTCGTCTGTCATGTTTGCTATCATATGTCATCTGTCATATTTCGTCTGTCATCTGTCGCCTGTTATATCATCCATGGTCCGCCTTGCATGTTGTTGGCCACATGTTCTTTGTTATCTATAACTAATTCCATAACATGTCATATGTCATCTTTCAGTTTTGTCTGCTGCCTGTCATCTGTCGACTGTCATGCTGTCTGTCGCGCCATCTTTAGGCTGTCAGTTGTCGTAAATCACCTGTCATTAGTTGTCTGCCAATATCATGTGTCGTCTGCCATCTGTAGTCTGTCATCTGTCGGCTGTCATATATCATTTGTCTTCTGTCATCTGCTGTCTGTTGTCTGTCATCTGCGTCTGTCATATGTTGTCTGTCGTCTTTTGTGTGTCTCTTAACTGAATCTACTTTTTAAACATTTCACAAGGCAGAGACTACTCTACAATACCAATACACTGTCGGTAATACCAAGACTACCTATGCACAAGATAATAATTCCTGGCTGCCTTAATTAGAAACATAAATTCTATGATCGAAAGGGTGGACTTAACATGTTTCTTTTTTTCGTTTCCAGTATTTTGTTGTATTTTGTATTTTTGTATTTTTGTTTTTGCTTTTCTTGTTGATGCTGTTGTTATTGACCTCTTACATAGGTACCTACATTTTTCCGATAATCGATACACCTTACCATGGTACACAAGTAACGCAACGTTTTTTCAGTTACGCTGGTATCGAACTGGTGACGTCACTGGTTTTGAGCTGGTAACATTACTAGTGTCGAACTGGTGACATCACTGGTGTTGAACGGGTGACGTCACTGGCTTAAACCGCGCTCGGCGATGATGTAACGCTCGTCGCCGCCCACTCGTCGCTGTCTGTCTGTGTGCGTCGCGAGCGTCGCGCGCCGCGTCGCTCCCCGCCTCCCTGCCTCCCCGTCTGCCTGATCCGCAGCAGCCGTACGAATCCGGCCCGCCGCCGCCGCGTATTGACCCGAGCGCTGGCCGCCGCCTAATCCCGGATTAAGTGCCGGATTAGGAGCGCGGGATTAGGGGGATTGGGCTGAAAAATAATCCGCCGGGCCGGGCGGCGGCGCCGGCTCACTGACGCTGCGGCCGCGGCCGGGGGCGGACGTGTGCGCTGCCGCTCAGCGTGCAGAGGCCAGCAGCCAGATACAGTGCACGGAGCTGATAGGGGGACGGTCGGCACGCGCTGTGCACGACACGGACAGACAGAGAGAGACACGCGCTGTGCTCGGCAGGGACGGCGGACGCATGGAGCAGAAGGGTCACGGAGAAGCGATGGCGACCGATTCGTGGGGCGGCGCCGGACAGCCGGAGAGCCTCTCGGAGAACAGCAATGAGGTGAGTTCGCTGGAGGGAGAGCAGCGTGCAGCAGTGAGGTCGCAGGCTGCACTGTGGTGTGCTGTGATCGTCCGGGCAATCGGTTGGGGTAGCACGTGGCTCACAACACACGGGAGTTGTGTGTTATCAGGTCCTTGGTTGGGCCACCACGTGGTGAACACCTGTATTGTATCCTGTTCAGGGCCCTGGTTGGAGGGCCACGTGGAGATAGCTATGTAGTATGACTAAGCGGTGGATGGTGGACTATGTGCTGTCTATAGTAGAAGTCTTGCCTGTGTTGGTGGGTGTGCCCGTCCGAGCCACTTGACTGTGAGTTTGTGAACGGCTGTGAGAATTACTGCATGAATCAGTGTATGGCTCACCTATCATGTGGGCTGCTAGAAGGCCGAGGTTGCGTCACCGCGGACGGTCAGACGGACGCGTGTTGCGGTACTAACGACGGTCGGAGCTGTGACTCAACACGCTCCTGGCGGTGACTGTTTACATCGATGGCCCTCCTGGAATGCACCTCAGCGACAGCTCCCTCACCGAAGGCATCCACGTTGGACCGTTGGCGATTTTCGGTACCAGCGCACATGGTCAGCCTAAGCTGCCCAATGTCCAGTTTTCCTTCCCGCCGGCTGCCGTCCCTCCCGTCCCCACTTTCCCGGATTGGGCTGCAGCTGTTTCACATAGAAGGCAGCCATGTGGTCCATAGGCTGGTGAAGTCACCAGGCCGCTGGAGATCAAGAGAACTGCAGAGATCAGGCTCAGAGCTTGGTTGTGGTAGATCTTTTGTCGTTATCCAGAGTCCGTGCTGTGGCGTGTTATGCTACAGTGGTCCTCCGTGACACAGAGTGGTCCATTCGACGCATACTTGTGACAGGCACTAGCAGCCGCCAGTCAACGAGGTTATGATAGGAAGAGACTGTTAGAGGACTCACTCTGTCATCCGCGGGATCAGTCATCGCGGTTATGGAGGGGCAGTATATGCCATTAAGCTTGTTTGAGACTGGATCAGTCACCGGCGTTTTGATGGGCGGGATCAGTCCATGGGGGTTGACAGAGGGAAGGGATCAGTCATCGCGGTTGACAGAAAGAATCAGTCCTGCGAGTATGCGACCTATGCGACCATGACGGATGCGATCAGTCCCCTCGCCGTTGTGACTGGTTGGATCTGCATCAAGAGACCATCATGCATATGTGTCTGCTGCTATTCATCCCACCGCCCACGCTGTCGAAGTCTCCTTTTGTAGTTAAATTTCGTCTCTCGCGTTCTGATGAAGCTTATTGTTTTATTTTGCTTTGTTTGGAGCAGCCTCTTACGGTCTTTAATTCCTCTTTTACGGACCATTGCAGAGCTATGAGATCAGGTGATGAAGGATATGGTGGACACACTCGACTGTGAGGACCACGGACGCATGACATTCGTAGCAGTGGCAGAGGTCGCCCCTGTGGGATGCGAGTGTCCCGATGGGGCCGTCCGCTCTGCCATGCAAACGGTCACCCGCGGAAGGTGTATTCCAGGCTCGAGTTGACCTCAACACCACGACGGTTGCTGGTTGGGGTGGTCGTCAGCCCGAACAAAAAATATGAGAATGAGGAAAGATGCTGATGGGCCACGGGTAGAGAATTAGCGGTTTTGGGGGAGCTCGAGCACCCCCTGAAATTCAAAGAACACCGTATAATAGTGCTAAAGTGGTTGCTTAAATTACGTCTGAGACACAAACTGCTTTACGTAAGTCGCGAGAAGAGTGATGCTATTTGGAAGAGCGGACATATATGTGCTTCTCTATACGCAAAAATTCGACGCTTCCATTCGCAAGGTGCTGAAACCCCCTGGGGGCTGGAATTATGACAATTATCCGCCCCTGTGATGGGCTAGTCCTGAGAATGGCAAAGACGGATGGATGTCGTGTCTCTCATAGGCTTCATGTGCCTTAGTTGTTGGGGTTTGCTTTACATTACAAGAGGACATAACCCGTCATAAAATTAGTTAGACGACCTCAGTTAAGACAGCCTATGGATTATGAGATGTTTTGAAGGCCTCAGGCACTCTTCGCCGCTTACTGTCTGGTCGTTGGGCAGCTTTATTCGAGCAGCCAGCCGACCCGTCTGCAATTCAAACCTGGTTGGCATCTACCTCCATTCGAATAAGCTTTATATGAATCACAGAAGTGCGATTTGGTACCTGCGACCTATGACTATCCTGTGTCCGATTGGCTATTTGTTAGGAGACCTGATAAAAAATGAATAAATGGGCAGTACTGTAGCCCGGCTCCCCGAAAACTAACGATCTGCACACCGAAGTCTGGCTTTGACTCGATTCTTCGTTTACTGGAGTCGGGGTTAAACTCAAGATCTTTGGAGAAGATTTCCGACTCGAAATCTGCTCCTCCTCCGAGTTCATTCAGCTTTGCCTGTCACAGCAGTCGTGTAACGCCGGACACCGCCGAGTTATGAGCGGCTGTCAGTGCACAGGCCGGTGACAGCGGTGTCATGGCAAGGTGACGGTGGTGTCACAAAGAGAAGCCCTGGGTAGGTAGATAGTCATACAGCGACCTGAGAAGGACCATCACTGTCCACGGACCTTCGAACTAGGCGAAGGACCGAATGTTCGAAAACCGGGAATACGTGAAGGCATGGAGTGATGCTATTGCTGAACCCAAAACGATGCACGTCACAATTGATCCGTGGCCTGGGCGAGCGTCTTCTTCACTTTGAAGCACACCTTTTATGACATCAAACGTCTCCACTGTTGCGCTGAGACTGCTGCTGGCTTTGAGCGCTGACCACAGCGGTCGGGACACAAGGCCCACCTTATGCTACCCTCGCGGCTCGCGCTGACCATTGACCGAAACGGCTTCATCTCACTGATTATATTTGGCGAATAACAACTCCCAGCCTCACGTTGTGTGGATTCGCAATCTTATTCTCGGACCCTTGCTTCTGTTGGCAAGGATTGGCATGTGTAACAATAATGCGCCTTTCTGCCTTTTGCCAGTGGAATAGTACGTGCACAGACCTCTCTATATAGGGAATCTGTGCTACGCATATTTCATTTGCATGCTTACATATACGCGGTTTAGGTATGCGTTTTATGCGTAGCCCTTGCCACTTGTCACATTTAGCTGTTACCGAGGGCATATCACGTTAATCTGTGGTGCTTTTCCAGTGTCGAACCGACCAGTTCATCCAACATGCCTTTTCCTGGAAAATCACCAGCTTGAACGTTAACGATATGGAACGATAATTATTTTGATATATTGACATTCCGGTGTTTATTTATGGATTTTCTCTGTCGGTTTGCCCATGTCAATCCGCTACAATGCACATTGCACACAGTTCTGACCTCTGGCTGCGTCTGCCCGGCAGCCGCTCCAGCTGACCATGAAGTCGGAGAAGCAGCTGCTGTCGATGATGACGTCAGAGAAGCAGCTGCCGCCGCCGGCCTGTAACGGCCTGACGGGCAGCTCGGCGGTCAGGGACGGCTCTCCGGTCACACGGGCAGAGACCAGCGTCACCGGACTGCCGGCCGCGCTGGCCGCTGCCGCCACAGCACAGTCGCAGAGGGGCGCCAGCACCGCGACCGTGCCGGCAGCGCTGGCAGCCAGCACCACAGGTCAGTCACAGAGGGGCGCCATGAGCACAGGTCAGTCACAGACATAACAACACCACAGCACAGTCCTAGAGGGGCGCCAGCACCGCGACCGTACCGGCAGCACTGGCATGGCCAGCACCACAGGTCAGTCACTACTCACAGATACTCCAGCAATGCAGGTCAGTCACAGAGACACCAGCACCGCTTGTTAGTCCTAGAGGAACACCAGAACCGTAGGCCAGTCACAGAGGGGCATTAGTACCGCAGGCCAGTCCAAGAGTGAAGAGAAACATCAGGACCACCGTCAGCCACAACTTCCAGAGTTATTTCAGGCTCGTCTCATCGATGAATGATGATCGTCGGTTTTTAACAGCATAGAAGCCGACTTACCACCAAAGAACTTACTGCAATCGTAATTGGTCCCATATCCAGATAAGTCAGAAACATAAAGGACTTCGAACGTAAGAGCTTGAAATACTTCTGCGTCAGCCAAGCTTCATCATCCCGGCGGTATATTCCGAGTAACGAGCTGCTCTTCAGGATTATTTCCTTACTACATATCCAACGATGCTTAGTGTCAAGACATAATGTCGCACTCCTTAGTTACCTACATATTAAGTTGGCCACTAACTTAACTTGCGCTAGGTCGCGGTCTGTGCCGCATGTAGTTTAAATACCGCCTTCCGCAAGGTGCCTATCGCTAGCTCACCGAGTGTATGGCGGTTCCCCGCTTTGCCTGTTTGGTCTGAAACATGCAGCGTTTGTCAGCATGGTTAGGGGAGCTGCGTGAAGCCGCCTGATTCAGCCGGCAGCACCGGCGAGCTAAGCTGCATCCACCGCGCTGCGTTTGACCACTATCACACCGACTGCCGACCTCGGGCACCTGCACAGAGGGAGGGGAGGGTCGAATGTGTCACCTCACCGGCGCCCGACGACCCCCACCCGACAAAGACGGCCCGGCCGCTAAGTCAAGGCGAGGTCAACAAACAACTGTCGGATGACCAATTTATCTAATCAGAGCAAATACGGCCGCCAAGAGGACTGCCGGACGCAAGGCGGCAAAGTGCCGCAAAAACTTCCCGCCCCGACACGCACTTCGGCGCACATTGCGCTGCGCCCTGTTGACGGTCAGATTATGCATTCCTTGCAATAATTCCTCTATAAATAATCCTAATCACGGCTACTTTCGCAACGCGCACAAAAACACGCCAGAACTGGAGTAAACACCTGAGGAGCGCTGGCCGTGCGCCAGATTATCATTAATTGACCAGTTTTTGCGCCTGCTGCTCGGCGCCGCCGCGATGCGCGCGATAGCGGCGCGCCGCGAACGGCGACTGTGCGCCACTGCCGCCGCGGCCGCGCGGCCGCCGGCGCTGCACCGTAAACAAAAGGATTTCGTCTGGTGGCGGTCGGTGGACGCGCGGCCGGCCGGCGCGATAACCGGGCCGCGGCCGGCGCTAATGAGCACACGATGAAAATACCGCGCCGCTCGCGCGCCGTTGGACGCCCAGATAAACCGGGCCCGTATAATAAAGCGGTGCGCGGCCGGGCGGCGCGCTGGCTGATCGGCGGCGGCGGCCGGTGGTCGGGGGTGATTGGCGGCGGCACCGGCCGGCACCGCGCCCCCCGCCGCTCGTTTCCCGTGCCGATAGCGGCTGATGGTGGCCCGCTCAGAGGCACCTCTCTCCCTGGTGCACCGTGGGCGACGACCTGCTTCACCCGGTGCAGAGTACGCGGGTACAGCAACTCAGCACCGAGTCTCCGATCACAGCAGAGCGGACCAGCGCGGCCTCTCTCCGCGGCGGTACCCCGGTACCTCACCGGCCATGAATGAAACCAACCGACAGCGACAGGTGGCTGCGAGTCCTACCAAACCTCGAACCTCAGACATCCCAAACCTATGCACTAATTCGGATCGGTGATTCCGGATCGGTGGCCAGCCGTGGGCGATGTGTTTCTCGCGGCGCGGCCTTGGTCGCTCCAGCTCCGCAGAGGGGGCGGATGTGGCCGCCGATCTCGCTCGGTCCGGCCGAAGCGGACGCGGGCGCTGGATCGCGTCACTTCCGCTGCAGGAGCCGGAAGTCGCCACAGCCCGGGCACAGATGTTTTTCTGCCTCCCCGGAGACTGCCTCATGATCGACGGTCACGATTTTGTCCAGGAATTATACCGTGAGTTTGCACGGTTGCATTTTATAGAAGTTACGGGTATCACTGGTGAACCCCTGTTAATCCGCTCTTGACATAAGTCGATTCAATAACGAAAATTATGGACACCGATAACAATGCTGCCTTCCTCTCAGTGTATTAGATTTACAATTCTCACGTAAAAAGACCTGACATTTTGACAATGTGTCTCACGAACCACAGCCGTCTGAGTCATTGAAAAGTTTTGGAGATTATCGAACTTACTCGAAGACCCGTAGGTGGGATCTTATGGAACCTGGCGCTCAGCATCCGTGTCATATCGCTCAGTCACCGATCTGGCTGTTCATTGTTTGAAAGTTCAGTGTTAAGTAGACCCTAAGCGTCACAGCGCGGAACCGATTGTTGTCCGCATCCGGTGAAACAGTTGTCAACCGTGTCAGACGGCGATGACAAACGGCAATGCGCAGTGTCAGACGGCGATGACGGGCAGTGTCAGACGGCTATGACAGACCGTATCAGACGACTATGACTGTGAGACGGCGGCTACAGGCTTTGTCAGAAAGCGATGTCGGTTTCAGATGGCGATGACAGACCGTGCCAAACTATAATGACTGACAGCGATGACAGACGAGGTGAACATGTGACGAAACGCGCAACGTATGACGAGCAGGCAGAAGCGGACGTGAGGCGAGCGGCTCGGCGGCGCCCGTGTTGTGACGTCCGCCTGTTCTGAGAAGAGGGTGATACCCGTGTCATTTGACGGGTGTACTTGTGTGACGTACCGGCAATGCGTAGCAGATCTTCGCGCTTTGGCTTTGTTCTGTCACCGACGAGCTCTGGCTTAATTCTCGGGACTTTTTCTACCCATGGTGAAAGGAGACGGACACGGGGACCGGTTCACACTGTGTCCGGGAGCTCGGCGGCTCCGTGCGGGCCACACCTCCCAGAGCAGACCTACCGCAGCTCTGAGCCGGCACCGCGTCACCGGAGACACTGCCCTAACCTCCCATACACACACAGATAGCCGTGATCTGCGGGGGCGGCCCGGCAGGAAGGGACCCGGACCCGGCGACAGCCACACGAGGAAAGACCTCGCACAACGGGAGAAAGTATTGGGTTTCTTAAACACTTTAGTGATTGTATCTAAATCAGGGCTGCAGATTATCCAGCTGACCATGATTGTGCAATACACATGAGTCATGGGAGCTTTATGGTGTTGTGGTTGGCCGGGGCCCGCTCTTGCTCGATGGGTGGGTAGTGTGCTGTATGAACTCGACTTAAAATCAAAGAGTGACAGTCAAAGTACAGGAGTGCGTGAGCAGGTTTAGGTCCGATTAAACCTGTAGCTAGTGCACAATTCACTCTGAATTCCTAATGACCACTACTCTCTCGGCTCTGGAGCCGCCGAGTCGGAGACGCCGTCCGGTCTGCCGTTGTCCGCTGTTTAGTAAATACGGTCTGTTGTGGTCAGCGCGGCGGGAGGCCGGTTGGACGGCCTGCCGTGCAGCTGGGCTTCTTTTCAGGGTCAGCCCACGCAAAAACCGGCCACGTCGCGCGCCTAACAGCTCTGAGGGCCACCGGAAGGTCGCTGACGGGCGAGGCTTCTCATTAGGTAAACGCTGCATAGGAGAGCGCCCGCTTCAATCGCACATGTAACAATTGCGCAGGCCGCAATAAGTGCTCATCACACCGATTACCTGGCGCGTAAGTAGTCATGGCAACGAGACGAGCTTTCATAACGGATTCTGTCTTTTGCTAGAACATGCGTCATGCACGTCCGTCAGATCTGTTTTCAGATTTAACAGAATTTTTCTGAATAAGTCTGTCTACCAGTTCGACTTTCTTGCCTTCCTTTGGTACGTTTATCAGTGTGGGTCTAATACAACCGGTCTTAGATTGACCCAAGCTTCATTATCATCGCCTCAGCAAGCATCCGCCCTAAGTCAGTTCATAAGCCATTTCCGTCGGAGATCTTCACCCGGACGGATCTGAAGTCAGCCGCGTCGCACGACTGCATTGAATTTGATCGACCGGCGGCATTATCTTTTCATCCCGGGGCATTTACTAAAGACGTATTTAGAAAATCCCTCATAATGAGGTGGGCGGCGGGGCCGGCCGAGCCGACGCCGGCTAAGTCGACAAACGAACGGCTCCAAAGTCAGACCGGTCGTGCCGAGCCGCGTCGCCGACCGACTCAAACTTAAGCCGCGCGTAATAGGGCCGCAGAAAAAAGAGGAGGAAATCGGGATCTCTCCATGGACTCGCATCGCGGCGAGGACTCAGAGGCGGCGGCGCGCTCGCAGATCAGGCGAACCCGTCTCATTGAGAGCGGCTGTCGGCCGGCTATAGGGCCCATGACGCCGAGCGGGGCTAATCCGGCCATCTGTTACGCTATTGGTGGCCGCCGAGTCGCTTAGCAGCTGCAACAGCACACGGTGGAGCCGGATGCAGCGCGGCCTCCGGACCATCCGGCGCGGATCAGCGGCGTTTTTGGCGGAGCCGCGGTCGGATCATGGCCACGGGCCGGCCGCGCTATCCCCCCCCCCCCCGGACCGGCCAAAGCTGCCCAGCGTCTTAGCGAGGCGGTTTGTGTAAGTTAAGCCGAGAAGCGTCTGAGCGATGTCATTATTGCATGGCCGGCGGGGTGTTTTAATCAGAGCGCTGGGGCGCGCGTGGCGCCCCAGCCCACCCCCGCCCACTACTCAGCCCCGCACGGCTTGACAATCTTGTCAAGTGCCGTCATAACGGATTTCATATACGGATACATGCCGATATAAAAAGCATCACCTGCAGGTTTGAAAAAGACACCTCACTGTTCGATTCGACACGTGAAATTGCTAGTTGACGTTCTATGATCGATGGGTGAGTAGAATTAG